TTGTTTATGCCTGTAATTGACGTTTTTCAATACAATCCACACAGAAATGTGTTCTTTAATGAAAGGTGTTGAGCCAAAAAACAAAAATTCGATAAAAACTGCCAAACTGACTGAAAAATGCCTATTACTTCGATTTCATTATTTTGACGAGCGCCTGATTTCACCACGCTGCTTCACAACTACACTCACTGACCCTCACAACGTTCAGTACCAATAGAGTAACCCAGCACACAGAGACTGCAATTTCCGCTGAGATAGTCATTGACTGACTCGCGAGTGTCTACCATAGACGGTTTGTTCCCAAACATTTTAGCGCATAATAAAGCTCTGTGTGTATGACAAAACACTTTATGTCCCGAAAGTGAACAATGCAGAAAATTTGTGATTATTTGGTTCATGACCAGAAGGCTGTGGGGAAACAATAAATAGAGGGACAACCCCCCCAGCAGCAACAACAACCAACAAACAAAAAGCAACAAAAACAACACCAACAAAACAAAAACAACATAACAAAAAAACAAAAAACTTATATTTCCAGCCCTTTTTGAGACAATAAATGTTTCTAAGAAGCAAAGAATAACTCTTTGAGGATACACTTTCCGGTCTTTCAACAAAACTCGAACATGCACTGTTTCTAGGCACGTAAAAAAAAGCCCCATTTTTTCGTTATTTATACAGATTTTTCATTTCGCTTTTTATAAAAAATCAGAAATATAAAAAAGCAAACTACACTTTGCATACTATAAACTATTATTATGCAAATTCGTGCTTCGGATTTTTGTGTTTGACAGTTGGAAATCAGCCACACCATGGTCTTTGGTCTGATTGGACAAAATGTGAGCCCGTTACGTCCTTTAAGACTTAAAGATAACGCCAGGAATTTATAGAAGAAAAAACAGAACCCGGAAGTTTCAGTATTGGAGACAGCCCGTTGTATCACAAAGCCCTTCATTTCTTGTGTCTGTTTTGAGGCTTCAATTAGAACTATTTTGTGTTTTCTCAAGTGATGCCAACTCTTGCAGCTTCAGCAGTTTATATTCCTGAGAGCGATTCGCTTCGTCTCGATGGATTATAAATCAGTAAAGTAACGTTTATTTCTCCCCTTTATCATAAATGAGTAAAAGTAACGTTTATTTCTCCCCTTTATCATAAATGAGTAAAAGTAACGTTTATTTCTCCCCCTTTATCATAAATGAGTAAAAGTAACGTTTATTTTTCCCCCTTTATTTTAAATCTCGTCTGTCTCATTTCAGGACAATGGGCAAAGCGTGCAGATGGTTGGTAAGTAATAACCGATCGTTATCTCTCATAGATTGAAGCAATAACGCCCTAATGCGCTCTGCGTATTCCTTAGTAAATATGCTTTTAACCCCCCCCCCCACCCCACCCCTACTCCCCACACCCATTTTGCTAGATTAATCTAATAAAGATGCACAAAGGAAGGCCACAGAATGCACAAATGCCAAGTTTTATTGTCTCCTAAGAAAACAGTTCGAATCTGACAGTTATGGGTTTGGCAGAAAAGTAAAAAGTAAATAAATAATTATGGTTTGTATCGATTCTGAAGGGGGGCCTGCAATCAAGTCGTTATGATGAAATTGGGGGGAAATTGCGAGATAGGAAAAAAATGAAGACAGAGCGGAGGGGGAAATGAAAACGACTTGGCTTGTGTATCGGGATACAGATAATGGGGGTATCAGTGCTACGTATCTTCGGCCAGACATGGAACAGATTGATGTGTGTGTCTAATAGTCTGTTGGGGTGTCTGTATGTGATCGTGTGATTGTATTTCCATAATGTTTCCTGTGTGTGTGTATGTTTGTGTGTGTGTGTGTGAGTGTGTATGTGTGTGTGTGTGTG